CATATAACTCTGATTCACTTGGCTCAATGTCATACCAACGAACCATTGCAAGGTCATATGGATCCTTTGCTGATCCCCAAAAAAACCTCAGGAAAATAAATATCTTTCTATACCATATATCTTCATCTGATTCATACTGATCTTGATCCTCTGCAGCAGATATTGCGGCATTACTAAACCACTCCTTATCTTGAAAACTACCAGATATTCTCAAAATTTCTCCATTTTCCAAATGAACCGCATCATAAATTTTTATATAAAAATCTTCACTATAAGAATCTTGTGAAAACACATCAAGGAAGGTGTCTAATGCTTGAATTAACTGAGACAAACCTTCAATAAAGTTTGGATGCATTTGGCTTGAGGCTTTTAAGGAGTTTACTTTTGCTTCAATAGCATCTAGCTACAATTCCCACAGTACTTTGCCAAATCCCATAGTTTTGCGACAAACCATTTTGCTTATTGTGGAAGTTAACTCCTTACGCTTTACCTTTAAGCATAATATCATTGATTATGATGAAATTGATCTATTTTAAATAGTTTCTCAGCTGAAATATTAATAATTTGAAGCAATTAGTCTTTTTTATATAAGACCGGATCTTGCCGTTCTTATATAAAAAAGACCAATTGCTCCGAACTTATTCTTACCACATTTATTAACTGTTCCATTACATTTTTTCTATTCGATGATCTGTACAGATTTTTTATATACGTCTTATAAAGTGTTTCATAAGTTTTGGTTGACAAGTCATTTAATGTTCCATATTTACGAATAGTTGGGATTATGTGATATCTCCAACTATGCAGTTTTGAAAATCTGCATTCAGTCTAGATAATAGTGAGAATATTCTCTTGAATTCACCACACCAGTCAATAATTTGAGCCTATATCAAATTTAAAATGTTATTTAAACTTTTATTTAGTTTATTTGACAAACTATTGACACTTGTCTCAAAATGCTGCAGGCTTATTTTGGTAAATGACTCTTGATGACTCATTATATACATTGTACTAAATTTAGCATATAACTTGCAAAGATCGTTGCAAGTTATTTAATTCCACTCATCAAAAATGTCATCAAGAGCAAAAAGTGCGACCTTCATTATATGTCGATAATCTGTGGAGTCATCACTTTTAATTGGCCCGCTTTACTAAATAATTTTAATCTAGGAAAACATGGAATTTGACGAAGGCAATTATCGAATTTCCTGTGCAATTTACTCCCTCCAACTTTTTTTAAAATTTCCAGTGTGAAGTCAAATTGATACTTAAACAGGCCAAGATCAATATGATGCATGCGGTCGGGAACGCATACTTTATATATATTTAAATTTCTTCAGATTATAGTTTTAATAGCCTAATATGTTTTTTTTCTTTGGAAATTGAAACAAAAACATCATTATGACCTATTTAACCCATTTTTATTGACCCACCTGAAATAAAAAAAATTTATCTATCATTATTGACCTATGTAATGTGAGTGCATATGTCAGGGTCTGTATATAAAATGGGCACACACTGATTTGCGCGAGTAATAGAGCACATGAATTCCGAACACATGCAAAAGAAAAAATCGAAAATACACAAAAACTAGTGTCAAAATAGACCTTGATGCACTAGTTAAAAATATTGAAAACAGATTTTACATATAACAAGTAACAATCTATTGCTATAGTCTCTAATTTTAACATCCTAAGCCTAAATTGAGTTTATAAAATTCGATTCTGTTTGTTATTCGCACAAATAAGTAAAATCATGAATGGTTCTAATCCTAATAAAAAGGTAGGGTATCATGTTACATGGGTCAATGAATTTTTTTTTATTTTCAGGTGGGTCAATAAAAATGGGTTAAGTGGGTCAATAATGGTGTTTTTGCGAAATTGCAGGATAAAAAAAAAATTAACATACAGAAATCTCCAGAAAGTATTTTTAACTTTATGCATAGAAAATTCCTTTTCCCGCTTTTCATCCAGAATTTGTTGCATATGTTTTGGAGTTCTGGGAATCATTTTTTCTGAAGCAAGGTTCATATTGTTTAGATCCTTATATTGGACCATGCAGTTATAACACGGCATCTTATTGCGAGCTACTTTATATGTTGCAGTTATTTCATTATCTTCAAGCATATCTGCCAGAAAAACTGAGATCTATGCTGCAAAAGATACTGGTCGCTCTCGAATTCCAAAATATAGCCCATCTGGTCTTTTAAATAGAGGATCAAGCATAACTTCAAAACACTTGTGATATACCTTATGTTGAAAGCCTCGGAAAGTATCAGTAGTTTTAACCATCGTATCTTGAATTTTTAGTAAAAACCCAAAAGAACTTTCGAGTCTGCTGAATTCTGAAGCCACATTGGTAGATTTTCAAGCATTAAAAAAACTGAATGCTTGGAGGTTTTACCAAGGTTATCGAAAGTTGTTGCATCGGAATATAAAATGACTGACAATAAATGATTTAGCAGGGGAATTTTTTTTTCTGTTTTGTGCCACCAATTACATTCGTATTATTCTCCATACACTTTTACTTTGATACCATTTTCCTGCGAAAAATTAAAAGGAAAAATTAAGAATAATACAAATTAAAAAATTAAAAAAAAAAAAATTTTAAAAATTTAAAAAGAACAATTATTATAAAACGCGACTATGTTTTTTGCACCTATTATATATTTTTATTAAATTTTCTAAGTTTTATAAGCAAGAAAAAAACTAACTTAACCAAGAAATTCAAGTTTTGCATATAAAAGTTTTAACACAATAACAAATTTTTTACATTAGAGTTATGAATTAGGTTTGGGAAAGGTTTTTGGGGTGTAGAATATTTTTACTTAGAACAGCTCACATTAATTAAATAGTCAGTTTTTGATATAATGAATGCGTAGGTGTAAAACACCATAGGTGCGTTTTAGTAGAATTCAAATTAAATGAAAATTACAATTAAATAAATCTTAAATAAATAGCTAATTAAGCCTAACATACCTTTTTTTTTTTAGAATTCCTTGTAAAGCAAAGTTTTCTGTTATTTTTGGTTGCTCTAGAAGTGTTTGAATTGCTCGAAAAATTGGACGATAATGAAGTGCAAAATAGGTTTCAGAATAACGTGCAACAACCTTCTCTTTAAAATCTAAAGAAGATAATTTTATTTAACTAAGATAATCTTTGCTGCTTTTTGTAGTCTTTGGCAATGGGGATTCTTTCAAATTACTGTGTTTATTAAAGAACTTGATTATCTTATTTCCAATTTTGTTAGAAATGTTACCTTCTATAATTAGTTCCATGAAATCATGGTAAGCATCATTGGGCCACGCTGCTAGGACTTGTAGTTTATTTTTTCCTTCAATACTATCCAGAGCATCATCAATGCTTGCTCCTTGAATGTCTTCAGGATCTGAACAAATGTCAAAAACTTCAGCAATTTTATCAAAATCACTTTGGCATTCTTTATTTTTAGAATTGTTTTTTAATATCTTATTTTTGATAAATTTTCAATTTAAACTGTAATATAACTTACTATTTGCGACTGATGGTGTTGTATTTTCTTCAATTACAGGTAACGAACCATTATTTTCCAGAGATTCTTCAACTGACATATCACTAAAATTTTCTTCATTGGAGCTTTCCTGTTCTTCAATACCTTCCTGTAATTATGAAAATATTGTTAATTTATTTAGCATATTTATTATTGATTTTATTGATTTATAAGGGAGGGTCGAGTATTATGGCGCGGGGGGTATTGTGGCGCACTTGTGTTTTTTGATGTTATCTTGCAATACACTAATCAGAACAGAACAATTTTAATACCATTCGATTCGTTTTACTGAGATAAATCGAATGATACGAAAATTAGTCAATTCTGAGAGATTATGTGTAATAATTACTCTATTTTTCTCTTTCCTATCTGGATAATTTCGGAGAGATCAGCAAACTAAAATCAAAATACCTCCAACTAAAAAAAAGCATAAGTTTTAGGTAGCTTTTTGAAGTCATTTTTTTTGACTTGCTGATAGATATTAGGTCATATATTAGTTTAATTAAAAAATTTTAGGAATAATATATCTTCTTGGTAACTTTTAGAATACCCATTCTTCCCTTACATATTAACAATATTATACCATCTCTCTGATATTCAATATATGAGTTCCCGTTGAAATTGACAGCCTTTGCATCCTTACAACAGGTGTATTCTACAAATTTATATCATGTTGAGGTTCAAGTTCTTTTGATCTTTGACATAGTTGTTGAATTCTTTCTCGGTGTGTCATACCCATATGCTGTGCTAACCCATATGGAGTAAGAAACCATTTTCTGCAAGTGCTGCAACTATAAACCATTTTCTTATTTTTTGAAAAATAAAATATGCTATAAGTAATTGTCAAATTATTTCTATTTGTGTACAATACGATTAAACTCAAGATCACAGCTTGATAAATTGAATTGAATGTAGTAGTTTAATTGCCCTATATCAGTTATAGAACAATTGTTTAAATTTCAATTCAAATCTTTTATTTCTAATTTCTCAAAATTTTAAATGAGTGATAAAAGAAAAAAACTTAAACCCAAAGCTGATTCTTCAAAAAGAACAGAAAATAGTGACTCTGGCTCTATTAGGACAGATCAAACAGAAGAATCTGCTATTAGTCAAACGAAATCTATTTTCGGAATGATGCTGTATAGCAACAAAAGCATTTATTTCAATTAATTTAATTTGATTTATTTTTATAAAAAATTCAAACATGTTTTTAATTTAATTTTCATTTTAAATTAGAGTCGAACAAAACGCCATTAAACGTCAAGAATTCTAAATTGACCAAATTATTATCAGCTACAGGTAAGACAGGTGATATTTGTTTTTTTGGTAGTCTTTAAAATTTTTCTATATTATTGTTATTTCGTAGGTACCGAAAATTCAGATAGTGAATAGCAGAATGAACTATCTTCACCACTAGTTCGATTACTGCGCGCAGAAATACAGCAAGCCTTGCCACCTGCAAACGAAGAACTATCTGATTTTGAAGAAATGCATGCACCTCAAGTATCAGTATTCCAAGAATCTGGAAAATCACGTGATACATTATCTATGAGCTTGGATGAACAAGAGCTTACTAGCTCTTTTCATACAGAAAAAAAAACTTGACAACTGACGATTTTAATTACAGTATCAAATTTTTGGACCAAAAAATTAATTCTTTATATCAATTGTGCCGTTTTATAGCAGAAAAGCAAAAGAAAATCTCAAAAAATGTGAAACAACTAATTGTATATAATGAACTCTCTGACTGTTTCTAGCAAATGGCATACAAAGAAGTCGCAAAGGAATTAATTCCTGCAATTCTATATCCTACCCAAAAGGAATATAGAACTGCATTAGAACGATACTTGTCAGAACACGCTGACCACTTCATAGATACTATCGGAAAGAGCGCTTGGATATCTTATTTTACAGAAAAACTTTTGCCTGAAGTATGTTATAAATATTTTTAATTATTTATTTGCATACAAGGCTTAAGATACTATTGTAATAGTGGCTATTTATTGTGCCAATGCTAATTGTTTGAAGTGTTTTTTTTGATCTATCAAATTAATTTATAATGGCGGCTATTACAATAGTGTCTTAAGCCTATATGTATATACATACATATATGGTAATCCCATTTCGGTATTTCTCGCCCTTGAATCATATGTGTATTGAAAATTGATAGAATTTCTACGTAGGTCAAATTTATTGACAAAATGATCGAACAGTACTTGTATTACTGTAATGACAGCATAAATCTAAATTATTGTTAATCCCAGTATAAAATATATTGATATTTCAAAATTGATAAGGATATAAAAATAATAGAAATACTAATTTTTTTTTATTCTTTTATTTTTGTTTATAAAACAATATAAAATTAATTTCTTGACTGCCTATCCTTTTCATAAGTTTAGATATATTCAAGTTTTCAAATCTACCTGAAAACAAACAATTAATTAATTATTTATTTTTATTTATTAGATAAAGATTAAATGCCGTCATAAAAGAAATGACTTAGCTACTACTATCTGAAATGCCATCTTTGCCACTTTCGATAAAGATTAGCTTGAGAGAGTTAATAATAATACGTCCAATGCAAAACTTGCCGAGTGGAAAGCTTCTGAGAAAACTCATGCAGCTTATAATTCACTTTTTGAAGATGATAAGTTGATCACATCTATTGCTCTCTCAGCATTTAAGCAATTCTGTGGCAAAAGTATTCTACCGATGCATTGTGCATACACAATGGCAATCTGTGATATCTTGCTAAATCCTGCTAGCTCTATGATTAGATGTACCGATA